GCAGGACGATTGAGTACACATACTTATTTTCGGAATACAAGCGGTTCTCCGATTGGTTATTGAATAATGAAAAAAATGCATTGTCACGCAATATAAAACATTTGGAATGCGTTTGCTGACTGAATAACGTAAGATTAAAAGTCATCTGCTTAACTCACAGCCATTTACAAGTCAACTACTCGGGCAATTGTAGAATTGTTTTGATTTTGAGCTTGTAAGACAAACCTAATATCGCTGGATTTAAACACTTCTTTAATCTTCCGAGAACATTCCTTCTTTAGCTCATATTCCAAGAATATTAAGTGAATACAATTATTGCAAAAGAAATTGAATATTCATTTGCACTACGGCTTGGTAGTTTACTAACGAGTTAAAAAAACTTAAATTCTGCTTTTTGTGTCTAAGAATACAACATTATATTAAATATTTACAAATAAAATATAAATTGGAGATTTAATTGGAGCCTCACCAGTTGCCTAGCATTTGAAGATTGTTAAATACTAATTGTTTGTTGCGAAGTCTAACCCAGGCTTGCATGGTTGATTTTCGTAGTTTTCTAGGTTCTCTTTACAAAGGTTCTCTATGAAAGCATCTTAACCAAATAGGTCCCATGTTCTTTCTCGTATGTTCAAATAACCAACTAACCTAGTTTAAGCACGATTTCCAAGTGAAGTTACTAGCAAAACCCGAATACTCATTAAAAATCATGTTGCTTGCCAATCGGGAGTAACATGAAAGATACAGCTCCAATAATTGAATTGCTGTTACGGTACGCTGTTTCTAAACTTAGATGGTCATTCCTTAATTAAATACAATTGATTTGTAACTTGTACTAGAGCTAACGGTAAGAATTGAAGTGCAAAATAAAATATCGTGTGCGAATCTTGATAATATAAAATTAGAATATTTGCAATTCAGACAGAAAGTTTTTTGAATATTTGCAATTACTTTATAAGAAGAATTTATTAATAACCGTAATAATTACTTATTATATTGCTGATGATTAGAATTCAGTTCTTGACAATTACATTCTAAATTAGAATTTTGGGGATATATTGAAAATATGCTACGCATAAAAATACATTTTAGCATAAAAAATGAGTTGGTGTTTTATGTTTAAAAGACTTCTTAAATTCATTTAATAAACATCGTACCCTAGTTGTTAATTGAATCCAGAATTTGGGTGTCGTTTGTATAATTATTCTTACTTGTCCACAGAACCTGCTGACTTATCCAGCCATTAAGTAGCTGCAGATCATTTCTACATAACCATTGAACTTCCATTATTTCAGTCTCTAGAAGGTTGTATGTTTATATCATAATTTGACTTTTATAAAAATGATTATTTTAAATCTTATGTTTCTATAAACATATACTGTGCTTTAAAAGTATGGAGGATAGTATCAGCCGCTTTTTCAGCCACTTCATAAGCAACAATTTGTTATGCAGTTAATGTCTTAAAATATTTTCATAAAATTCAAATAAACATCAAACGAAAATTCTCAGTTTTAGACAATTCGATTTAAACGAAGTAAAGTAGCAGACGATAAAAAAGCCGAAGGTAAAAATTTACTCTTATTAAAAAAAAAAAAAAAAAAAGGTAGAGAGAAATTAAAAAAATAGTAAAAAAAAATTTTAATAATATCATCTATAATTTAAAAAAATAGCTTTTCATATAGTATTAATAAATATTTATTACGCATCCTTAAGGGAAAAAATTTTATATAATTAATTCTTCGTAAAATCTTCTCTAGAGGTTTGTATGTTTATATATTAATTTGACTTTTATAAAAGTGATTATTCTAAATCTTATGTTTCTATGAAAATATACTGTGCTTTAAAAATATGGATGATAGCATCAGCCGCTCTTTCAGCCACTTCATAAGCAACAGCTTGTTTAGAAATAAATTATGCAATTAATGTCATAAAATATTTTCGTAAAATTCAAATAAACATCAAAGAAAGTTCTCGGTTTTAGACAATTCGATTTAAAGGAAGTTAAAGTAAAGTAGCAGACGATAAAACGCCAAGGATAAAAATTTACTCTTACAAATATTTTTTTTTAGAAGGAAGAAAGAGAGAAATTTAAAAAAAATAGTTAAAAATTTTGAATAATATCATCTATAATTTAAAAAAAATAGCTTTTCATATAGTATTAATAAATATTTGGTTGATCTTTACAATATGGTAACTGGTAGTTTGGCGACATTTTGGAGGCGATAAAGGTTACTACCTGGGACTTTGGTAATAATGTGAGCAGTACTCAGTTCCGATTACGCATTATTTTGTGTGAGGGAAATGAGAGATCATGGGATATGTCATGTGATATTAATGGACGAATTACGGTTCTTTAATCGGAAAAGGGGGGAAATCGGGAAAAATCTGGAAATTTTGTATTTGGCTTTATTCTGTGTTGTGTGAAACGGTGTTGGTTAATTTTTGGATCCCATGGCCGTAACTAAAGTGAATTCGAAATGGGTATTTAGTGGTATTGAAAAGGGTAGTAATAAATGTTTGTTTAAGGTTGTGCGAGATAGAAATAAAGATGTTTTATTAAGTTATTTATTTTACCTGGTACCTTGCTGTATAAGTATGATTTTAAAGATCCTGAAACAGAAAGAAGAAAAGTTTATCAGACACGTAATCAAGATTCTGAAGAAGATTAGGTAAGTTAGTATTTTTAATTATTTGAGGATATTATTTTTATGCATTGTTCTAAATGTAAGGTGGAAAGGAATTTGGTATTATTGGGAAAATTGTTATTAGCAATGATTTAGTTTAAAGTAATTAGGATTGTAAGGTAATTTTTATTAATTTAATGTATGTGCTCATTTTATATTTAAGTAGTGTTTTTTGAATTTAATTATATTTTTAATGAAATGATAGTTATTTTGTGAATTTTATGTTTGTAGGAATTTGGTATACGTTTTAGTTGAAGTAAACGTGCATGGAAATAATTTAAATATCTTGACACTAAGTATTTGTAATAGTTTGCGGTATGAAATTCGTTGGTGACGTTTATAATATAATAGATGATTTTAGAGGTAAAAGTTTTTGGATATTTTATTTATTTTATATGTGGAAATGTTCATATTTGGAAAGGGTAATACTTTTTCGCGATCAGTTAATTTCATATATGTTCTTTTTTACCGGGTTTAAAGATTGAGAAAATTGTCATGCATTTTCGTGAAATTTTCCTAATTTATGAGAAAAAGCAGTGTACATGGATATAGTGAAGAGTGTGGGCAATGCCATTTTTTGTGCAATTCTGGGATGTTTTTTTAAGTAAAAATAAGTCGACGTGTACATGGTTTTTAGTGATATTTTAATTAAATGATAGTTATTTTGTGAATTTTATGTTTGTAGGAATTTGGTATACGTTTAAGTTGAAGTAAACGTGCATGGAAATAATTTAAATATTTGATACTAAGTATTTGTAATGCTTGCGGTATGAATTCGTTGGTGACGTGTATAATGTAATAGATGATTTAGAGGTAAAAGTTTTTGGATATTTTATTTATTTATATGTGGAAATGTTCATATTGGAAAGGGTAATACTTTTTCGCGATCAGGTAATTTCATATATGTTCTTTTTACCGGGTTTAGAGATTGAGAAAATTGTCATGTATTTTCGTGAAATTTTTCTAATTTATGAGAAAAAAGCAGTGTACATGGATATAGTGAAGAGTGTGCGCAATGCCATTTTTGTGCAATTCTGGGATGTTTTTTTAAGTAAAAATAAGTCGGCGTGTACATGGTTTATGTGTATGTGTTATTTTGAAAAACGCGTAAGGTATTGTGCACTTTTTCCCAATTTTGCAGTGAATATTTGTCATGATTAAGCAGTTTTGTTTGATAATATTTCTAGCATAAGTGTAATTCGGCTAGTAGATTGTTGGAAGAAGTGTTCAGTAGATAAAAAGAAAAGAAACATGTCTTTACTTCGTGAAGACAAAATGGCGGCGGGGGAAAAAAATAGAGGGTTGCTGTATGAAAGTTGGTTGCCAAATTTTCGCCAAAAAATCGCCAAGTTACCATAATGTAAAGATCAACTAAATATTTATTACGCATCATTGAGGGAAAAACTTTCATATAATTAGTTCTCCGTAAAATTTTACTTGAAATTTAAGGTTAAAAATAGATGTGGCAATTCACTGTAATAAAAATCTATAAACCACATCTGGCGTTATTATCGCTCAAAAAAGAGATGCCAAATTTGAAAACGCGAAAATATGTAAATTCGTGTATATCTTAGAAAATTTTGAAAAAAAAAGTCTAATGTTTTGCAGGTATGCTTAGAAATACACCTACTTTAAGATGATGGTAAAAATTTTATAGGTTATAATTCAAAAGTTTTTTCGAAAAATTTATAAAAATTATTTAAAAATAGAAATTTAAAAAATAAATCACAAAAAATGGGTAAATTGTATTTGGAATGAACCTAAATTTCGAAATGCGAAAGGAAAAATAATAAAAGTTTAATAAAAAAAAGATATATTAATAAATATTTGCCAAATTCAATTAACATTGAGGAGCTAAAGTTTTGAGAGCTAATATTTTAAAAACTACTGGTACGAGTTTTACAAAATTTAGTATTCTGGCATAATTTGAGACGTAGAATCGAAATATGGAAAACAATTGGTATGTTATTTCAGAAAAAGTCCGATTTTGTGTCAAAATACCTATGTTAGAATAGTGCTATATATAAATCTAATATATATCCTAAGTCGTGCTTTCGACACATGAAAAACGCAGTTTGAATTTTGTCAATCGGCCCAGTAAAACAAAAGATATAGCATTGTCCTTTTTTTTTTTTTTTTTTTTTTTTTTTAAGCAGTGTTCGCAAGGTCTCAACCTCGCAAACGACTGAATTAATTATCTAATCAAGGGCTGAATAAATGCAAATTTAAAAAGCTGTAAACACATTTTCACCTGTGTCTCCAAATTCAAGAGGATTATACTTATACATATATTGAATAAAATATGATTTAAATAATTACCTTCCTGGCTGAAGAATGCATTTGTAATTTCTTGAGCAATCGTGAAACCCAAGGCCCCAAAATTTAAATACCTTGTAAAATGAAATATACGAATTAATATCAACGATCCAGTATTTCTTCTAACTTATAAATGATATAATACATAATCAAAAGCATTTATGATTAACTTAATTGAAAGTCGTATATGGGGAAGATAAACAATGGAAAACGTTTTGATGTTAAAAATATTTTTAAAAAAATATTTGAACAGTTACGGTATGTTACGTTATGTTACCTTGCATGTATCATCCACTTGCTTTGGCAAGTGTTGCCATTGCTTGAAATATTAGTTCTTTTCTTATTTTGCACGCGGTTTCACACATAGCCTGTTTTCAGAGTTTTGCCAACCCAGGAAATAAATATCTTTATTTAGTATTTCAAATTTAATTAATGATAATTACTTAATAAACTAAGAGATTAAAATGCAATAAACGTCTTAGTGTTAGTTTAAATTTTTTAACCTTATTTTGAAATTCTATGCCTGGTTAATGCAAATTAAATGTATCCAATTTATAATATGTCCAAATGAAATATTTTGTGAGAATTTGAAGCTATACTGTAATCAATAAAAGATAATTCTAATGCTACATATTATGTATCTGATACAGTATTTTTTTTCATTCGTTTCGGTACGCAAAATTTTAAAAATAGTTGATGCCATAAAAGTACTCAGGAAATTTTACATATAACAGTCGCAAATTATTTAGTTTTTCAGATGCTACAAACGAAGTTATTTTTCCATGTTTTAATATTTCCATTTATCTGCAAGATAATTATTAGATCATATATTAAAACGCATACTTGACTATTATATTCTTGAAAATCATTATATTCTTGAAAATAATACAGTTTTAAAGAAAACTATTCATAAACAGCAATTACGAAAAATGTTTATCTATTTTAAAAATTACTGGTTGAAAACTGAGGCTTCACACTTGATCAAAGAGACTATTGCCAATTTTATTCTGCTTGTCCAATAATATTAATAAGGATTATGGTTCTCGTAAGTAATGAGTTCTGTGAAAAGATTTCTATTATTTCAATAGCGAAAATAAAATTTGTAAATAAACAGCTTCAAATAAACACGCGTTGATTAAATGCACTAAAACTGGAAAGATATGAGTTAAAATGAAATTTTTGGTTTAATATCACTGAAAATAAAACAATGCTTTCTGCAAACAAATCCATATTACCAGCCACAAATTTAATTGGATTGAATGGTTACGATTTTACTTTTATTATCATAAAGAGAGTTCAGACAACTGGAATCAGTGGAAATTTTCATACATTTGAAATAGAAATTTCTGATATTTTATTACAAAACCTTTTTCAGCTGCAAGTGGGAAAACGACTGAAGAGAAGTTGGTGATCATGCGAAACAATGAAAACAATGAACTATTTATTTAATTATGTATTTATTTAATTATGGCAAAGCACACTAGGGCTATCTGCCTAAGGAGAGGGATGCCTTCGTGGAGGACTTTCTAAGGGAAACTGGCTCGTATACACGTTACACAAGGGGAAAACCCCGAAAACACCCATGCAGCCAGCCCGTTCGCGGGATTCGAACCTCGGACCGAACTACCAGTGTTCAGCGACTTTACAGCTCGGCCGCTGGTGGGCAACAATGGACAAGAAAATTAGAGAAAGCTTAATGAAAACACTGCTACTGACTCCATCTATTAATGAAAAATGAAAATAACTGTGGAATAATTTATTTAAAAGCTGAGCATAAATTTGGATCATTAACTAAAACTGAAAGAATTTTATGAATTAAAAATGCGTCTGGAAAATCTAGTTACCCTACGGAAGATGATTTTTAAATAGTTTTAGCTGCAGAAAAATGGAAGTTAGAATTTTATGATCAGCAATATTGGGCAGCAGCGGATTTGTGTCCTTTTTTTTTTTTTTTTTTTTTTTTTTTTTTTTTTAAATATATGATTCCTGTTCATTAATGCTAAGTTTTAAGGCTATCTTAGTCCGATCAGCGTGTATTATCTTAGTCCGATCAACGTGTATTATCTTAGTCCGATCAATGATGGAACACAATGGCAAAGAATATGGTTTGCACTCCACGATTTCACATACGAAATAGAATCTTTAAGTATGGAAGTGCAAACTAAATTTAGTAAAATGCGTAAATTGATACTATTATAAATAAAAGTAAAATAATTGCTAAAATAAATTTGATACCTAATTTTTTAAAAACTTTTAAGGCATTTATTTAATTGTTTGTAATTTGAAAAGGCTTTTTATATATATTGCTTCATTGTTTTTTAGTTTAAAGAATGTGGTAAAGTAATAAAGAAAGAAAATTCCATCTTTGACTGTAAGAAAAGTATTCCTTCTAACCAGCATGGCAACAAAATAAGCGTGACGTCATAATGTTTTCAAGTTTTCCGATACATCCAATGGCATAAATTTATTCTCAATTAAGTTCCTGTTTTGTTTAAAGATCACAACATGACTTATAATTATCGGGCTATCGTCTTGTATGATGGCGACTGGATGTCGAAAAATGTTGTGTGTCAAAAATTCAGCACTAAGCAAAAGAAATTCTATATCGAATTTTTTAAAAAAAAATTTGAAATTGTGTATTGTCATTACAAACAGATATATCAGAAAACGGTCTCAGCAAGGTCTTTTGTCTGGAATCCATAACTGGACAGTCCAAATGCGCATGACACATCGATAGCTAGCAGCGCAAGCGTTTAGTGATTGGAATAATATAATTCATCGTACTATTTTAATGGGCATCTGATATAAAACAGTTATTTTAATATCTAAATCATGTTGTAAAAAATTAAATAGTTAACAAAAATTTTAAAACAGAACTTAAAATTGGCTGATAACTTACGATGGTCGATGCATGTGGAAAAAAGGATATTGCAAGATTCCTGCAGGTATATCTGTAAAAAGAAAACTATTCGTGAGGAATGCACAGAAATAATAAAAAAATTAAATCACATTTAATTCAGAGGCACATCAATGTTCTGAAATATTGAAACAGCATTGAATTTTGGATCTGTAAATCCTAAACCTCCTCGAAGGTTTCGGGTACTTTTCCCTACAGTAAACGTTTTTCGTAAGTTAATGAATGAATAGTAAGTACGTATCTTATAATGGAAACAATTCAAGTTCAACCAGCTGTTAAGCGTCCGGAGATAGAGAAAAGATATTAGGTTTTAATCAAGTGATTATTGCATTCCCGTGCTATTGGCGCTTATAGATTTCTAAAGAGCACTAGTGAAATTTGAATCTTGCAATTATTTCTAAGATATAACTACATTCTTTTGTTTTTATTAAAATTTATTTATTAAAGATCTTTTGATAACTGCACTTTGAAATTTTAGTGCTATCCATTTTCGTCTTTTCTTAGTTCAGTAGCACAAACGTTTAATGGGAAATGTACTGGTCTATCAAAAGGAACTTTGTTCCAGTAACCAAAAATTTATCATTAAAACTAAAAATAAAATTTAATAATTTTTAGGGAATTATACATGCAGATTTTTGAAAATAAAGCCATTGCCATTTAGATAAAAGTTTTATCAATGTAACTCAAAAAATCATATTAACAGTAAATTTTAAAATCCTAAAATACAGTATTTTCAAACGTTAGTAATTTGTTAATTAGTTAATTTCATTATATTTTCGACAGAATATGATTATTTTTGTATTCTTTCTCTCTTGTGGGAATTTAATTTACAAATTCTGAAATAATAATTATGGCATAAATGACTGACTTGGATATTTCTGATGAAATTTTCCCTGACACTATTAGAAATTAAAAATTAATACTTATTTAACTATTAATCGTGTACAGCTAGCTGTGACATTGGTTTTCGAAAGGTGGAGTATATATATTTTCGTGTAATCGTTTCGTAATGATCAATTACATTTTTCATAGCTGGCTATCAGTTGTTAAAATCTTGTACTTTTTTTTTTTTTTTTTTTTTTTTTTTTGCAGCATTTTTTTACATTTTTGTCTAATTTATAGGGTTTATCTTGTGAAATTATTATTAATTTTTTTCTATATTTCGTGGCAAGATAACCTGACATCAAAGAATTGTACGGCTAGAATGCCCGTAACACAGCTTCTGCCATTCTAGAAACTATAATACCACTTAGACGATCGGCTGATGAAAGTAACAGTTCCGGTTGCCCATTTATACCCAAAATCTAATCAACTCTTTATACACTGCTCGACATTGAAAATGCAACACCAAGAAGGAGCGGTCAGAAATTTATGCAAATTAGAGTAGACGCACGTCACTGAGTTATGCGAAAGATGTGAAATGCACAGCTCTCCGACACACGTGAAGTAAGATATATAAGGGAAGATCGTGTCGTTATTTCTGCCAGATGAATTATCGAAGGAAGTTGGTTTTTGTCCCGGAGGATACGTGTAATAGGAGAGAATGCCAGGCAGCCGTCAACGAAGGCACTTCCAGCAGATAGACGATTTTACGAGGGGCATGGCGATCGGACAGAGAAATGCGGGTTGGTCCTTACGTCAAATCGCAGCTGATACCCACATGGATGCGAGCACGGTGCATCCATGTGGGTATCAGCTGCGATTTGACGTAAGGACCACATGGTGCATGGCGAACATGGTTGGGGCAAAGCAAATGTGGGAAGAAGGAGGGGTGTAGGTGCAGCCTGAGTGACGTCAGCACGTCTGGATCGAATGCATCCCCCGACAAGCTGTGGCGGTCCCACAAGTCACTTGTACTGCGATTCTTGCAGCATGTGCAAGATACCCTGGATGTTCATGTGTCGATCAGAACCATTTCTTGTCCGATTGGTTGAAGGTGGCCTGCACTCACGGCGTCCGATAAGAAGACTGCCATTGACCCTACAGCATAGATGCCAACGTTTAGAATGGTGCCGGACTGGAGTGATGTGGATGACAGATAAGTCACGCTTCTGTTTATCCAGTCACAGTTGCCGCATACGTGTGTGGCGTCGACGTGGAGACAGATCTAATCCGGCAGTAATTGTGAAACGCCCCACCGCGACAACGTGGCAAAATGGTTTGGGGCACTATTGCCTACGATTCCAGGTCACCTCTACTTCGTATTCAGGGCACAATGACTGCCCAACGATACTTGGATAATATATTGCGGCGGTTGCAATTGCCTACCTTCAGGGGCTGCCTAATGCAATTTTTCAGCAGGATAACTCCCAACCACACAGTGCTCGCATCTGCCAACATGCTCTGCAAGGTATACAGATGCTTCCCTGGCTAACGCACTATCCTGACCTGTCACCAATAGAACATGCGTGCGATGTGATTGGACGCCGTTTGCAGACTCTGCGTCGTTCAGAAGACGAACTGTGACAAATGGTTGAAAGGGAATGGAGAGCCATTCCTCAGTTCACCATCCACGTTCTTATTGACTCTATGCCTAGACGTGTTTCTTCGTGCATCGCTGTCCGCGGTGGTCCTACATATGCAACGGCATCAAGTCAAAAAGATAGTCCGTTTAATTGACAAACTGATGAATCTGGGACTTGATCTTTGTGCCTTATAATATCGACATATGATTCAACTTCTTCAACTGCTTGTATATTTATACCCATCTACTTTTATGCTCTGAAGTGTTTGTAACCATTGTAATCTATTGTGAATCCATCTGTTATAAGTCGCTGTGTATAGCAGCAGTCAAATATTTGTATATTCTCTCTCAGCATCTTTTTCTAAGTGCAATCAGATAATATTGTCTATAACAGCTGTTCCCTGTACCTATGGTACATTTAATACCAGGTGCTGTTTAGTATCTGTATATCTTGCATTTGCCTATTTACCGATGAATAATAATGTTATCTTTTGCATATGCACATTTATTATCAAGTGCTGTTAAATATCTGTATATATTGAATTTGCATATTTATCTGTTGCATATGTATTGTCCTAATAGTCTCTTTGTTGTCCATAGCAGCTATCAATGTACTTACGGTACATTTTTTACCAGGTGCTGTTAAATATCTGAATATATTAAATCTGCATATTTACCTATGAATAATAATGTTATTGTCTTTATTTTTATCTTTTGCCCATGTATTATCAAACATATAACTGTCTGTGTTCCCTCATAATGCACTATGATAATATCTACATTGAACGTATTTTGCGTTTTTCACTGTGTAATAGTATATAATATCTTGGCATATCTAGTTGGGCGTATTAATGGTACATTGTTTGCCAGTTGCTGTTAAACATCGGTATACCATATACTTGCATATTTGGCTATACATTATACTGTTACTGTCTTCTTTTCATCAATTGCCCATGTAATATCATACATTTAATTCTCTGTGTAATAATAACACTAAATGTAATGGGGTCGCTAGAGATTTTCATTGTATAATATATCCAACCATTATCCATTGTTTTAAATATATCCATTGTATTTATACCAACATTGAATGTATTTTGTGTTTTTCACGGTATAATATATGTTCATAATTTGTGGCATACTTAAGTCTATATTTCATCCTTTGCAAATGTATAGTACACATTTAACTGTCTGCATCAATTTATTTGCCATAAGGATCACAAGTGTCATGATCAATTTTAAATGTATATTTGTGTTACCAACACTGAATGTATTTTATATTTCTATTGTATAGTATTGTATAGTATCTACTGTATCGTATCGTATTATGGTATTGTTTTGTATTGTATAGTATCTTATATCAGTTGGCTTTATACAGGTTAAATATGTTAATTTTTATTCATTATAATCGTTTAATTAGCTTTTGTATTGTATTGTATTGTAGTATTGTATGGTATCTTATATAAGTTATCTTTTATGCAGGTAACTGCATCAATTTATTTGCTGCATTAGGATCACTGGTGTCATGACAATTTTAAATGTATTTTTGTGTCACCAACACTGAATGTATTTTGTATTTTCATTGTATAGTATTGTATAGCATCTATTGTATCGTATTATATTGTGGTATTGTATCTACTGTATCGTATTGTATTGTGGTATTGTATAGTATTGTATAGTATCTTATATCAGTTGGCTTTTAGTACAGGTTAAATATGTTAATTTTTTTTTGTATTGTATTGTAATATTGTATAGTATTGTATAGTATCTTATATTCGTTAACTTTTATGCAGGCTAAATATGTTATTTTTATTCCTCATAATCGTATAATTAGCCTTATTGCATGTTTTTCCCACAATACCACGGGATCAAGTGTATTGTACCGCTATTGCATTCTGTTACATTGTATTCTTTTATTTTTATTTCTTTTGGTATATCCTCTGTGTATTGCTGTAATCATTTACATTCATTATTTCACTATGTTCTCTATTTTTATGTTATATTGTCATTAAGTCCTAATTCTACTGTCTATATTTTATTCATTGTATATTATTGGGCTGCCCAACATCAGACTGTACTTTAGCTTATGTATATTCTATATTTGTGTGTATTACACCTTTGTAAAATTTTTGCTTATTGTCCAAACTCGCCCTTTTGGCCCTGCATGCTTTTGTTTTTTTATTTAATAAATGTGGGGCCTGGGCGGTTGTTGGGACTGTCTTTCGTGGGCATTTGGTCTGTTGGACTGCCCCCGGGTTGAATTTGGCTCTGGGTTTGGGCGCCCGGCGCGTGGCGTCTTGTGATTCCTCTTTAGGCTCTAGATATAGGTGGACGTGGTGCTATACCGATTAACCTTTTGGTAAAGGGACAGTGCCCACGTCCTCCGTTGCTTATCGCTTATCCTACTGAGCCGACGTCGTTCTCGCTCTGTATTCTGACTATCATTTTGAAATAAAGATCACTTATTGCTGCTTGCTGTCTCTGTCTTTTTTCCAAATTTCATCACTTTCTGACTACTCCTTGGTGTTGCATTTTCAATGTCGAGCAGTGTATGAATGCAGAAAGATTAA